CACTCTCCGTTTGCGACAGTCCAATGATGGAATTGCCGCCACCACCGCCCATATCGCCGCTAGAACTGTTACCCCATCCGCCCACTTTCGATTTGCCGCTGCCACCACCACCAGGCTTTAGCAGCGGCTTAAGCGCAGCCGATGCGGATGATGCGGCCGCGGCGGTGCCACCTTCGCCGACCACCATGCGACCGCGACGGCGTTCCATTTCGCGTCAGGAAGCCATTTTTGTGGAACCAACAGGCAATTCGTTGGAAAATGTGTCACAAGGTGAGGATGTGAAATCATCGGTGGAGGCGGTGGATTCGGTGGATGAGGCGTCCACAGTAGCTACATGTGGTTCGCCGACAGCAGCGAAACATGCGCTGGTCGTACGTGATATTTATCTAACTGTACCTGATTTGAAGCGCGATCGCGCCGCCTCCGTGGATTCGTGCTTCTCGAAAATGTCTTCGGCCGGCAAGACAGAGGAACTGCAGCCCAGCGAGGACGGTTGTTTCCTCACCGTACCGAATATAAATGCAACTCGCTCGCGATCCGTTGACATTGTGCTGCCGACGGATGAACAGGCACGCTATAAAGCGCTCGCCATGACAGGCGCATGCAGAGACGGGTATGTAATGATGTTGACGTTGTTTGTTATTGTTCAGTTTTTTTTTTTTGATTACCAAATGGACATCTTTTTAATTCAGTTGTACCTGTGTTGCAATTTCTTTATTGTAATAAGTAACAATAAAAATTGTTATTGTAATCTTACTATAATACAATTATAATACAGCCCGATTAGAAAGGACTGATGCTCTTTTGCACAATCAATTATTTTTTATTAGTGGCAGTTTTTAAGCTAGTGGCAATTAATGAAAAATTTGATATTCAGTACTAAAAGGGTTGTGGTCCCGGTGATACGACCATTTTTCGCTCTCAATGAAACTTTACTGAAACGCTTGTAGTTCAACGATTTTATTCTATCTTAGCACAATTTTTTACAGAGTTTCTGCTTTTAGGTCGAAAGTTCAAGACATATTTTTAAATGTATTTCTATTTATAAATCGACCTCGAATATATTTTTTCGTCAGCGACCTAAATTTAGTATTTAGTAGCAAAATTTTTCCAAAGAACATTTTAATTCGTTAACTCGCCCCAAAACTAGTCTTTTTGCCCCGGATTCTGAAAAAATGCCAGTTGGAGGGTTAAATGTTCATGGATGTCTGAAAAAATTTAAGAAGGAATTTTTGAATTTTCGACCAAAAAGTTGGACCTTTAACCCACTGTACAACACAAAAATGTGATGCGATAGAGAAAAAAAATAGTAATATTAAGTCTACAGTTTTACCATACATATTCAATTCTTCATACTGGAGTACAAAAGAGCAATTCGGGTAGCCTACATATTTGGCAGTCATGTTATCGCAGATCCCTTTAATTCGAGTTATTGGGTAGCGGGATTTTAGTCATAAACGATTTAGTTAGTAAAATCGAGAATCCGTTCAAAACGGCTGTATTGTACTCTCTCGAAGTATTTGTACTCTCTTTTTTTTTTGTTAGCCCAGTAAAGGTTCCGAAGAAGCCGTAAGTTGTTTCTCCTTTTAACTCCAAAATAACGGTGAAAAAACACTAGCAAATTTGTTTATAACCCAATCAGAAAAAAATGAATTTTCCGCATTTCACTTTCAAAATTCAAAGGAACGAATTAATTCACAATTTGTGCACGTTAGACTGTATCCCGATGTATGGAGCAAAAATGGAGACCTTTTCAATCGATTTTACTACAAATTCTCTTTCAAAAACAAAAGTTGTGGAGCTTATTTAAATTATATTTACCATAAGAGTCCCGGTTCCATATTTAGGGATTTCAAATAATGGGATTATAATTTTAGAAATACATATTAGGGTGGTCCTTGAAATATCAACATCTAAAATGTGTAATGGGACACGACTTTGTTTTGTTCTACTTTCAAAATAAGGATATTCACAAAAATTTCAAAATTTCAAACAAATTTTTAGAGGTCGCTGCTAGGCTTATTTTTTGGTTGTTTGCATTTGCGACAGGGTGGGAATATGATGTATTTAAAAATTACACAAAAAAAAACATTTGTAGAGTTTGAAAAAATTTGTTTTTCTAGATCGCAAACAAACTACAAAATTTACTATTAAAACTTGTTCATATAAATTCATAAACTCGCTGTTCAATTTTTTAAGGACCACCCTAATACATATGTATTTATAGAGAACGGGTATGCAATTTTTTAATAACTTATAATAGTATGTGTATTATTTATGAAAATCTGCCATCAAATATAAAAATTGAATTTAGAAGCAAATTCGTTTTAAACGATGTCCAGAAAATAATTGTTATATGTGTACTTTAAAAACATTCACATTAATTGTGTGTAAAATCGATTGAAAATAACTATTTGATACTTTTTGTGATACGACCTAATGTACCCATAGAATAATTTAAAAACGACAATAAAGGAGATTTACATACATACATTTACGCCTTCTTGGCCTACCAGCTCATGCATTTTTAATACTTACCGTACTTGACCCGTTTTATCGGATCAGCATTCAACTACAGGCAGCTCTTTTTTGTATTTATTTTATATTTCCTGCTTTCTTTTTTTGTGCAGTCACTTGACAATGACTTTGGCATCCACACATTCACCTCATTTTGGCATATGGTACAGAT